TATGCATTTGGTCATTACATGAAGGATTAGTCCATAATTAGAAAAGGCAAGTTATCCATTTTTGTAAAGTTACACTTTATGTCAAGTTTACAATCCAAGAGGTACAATGCAAATCTCTGAGGCACAAAGGCATGGACATATCCCACTGATCAAGACTAACATTTTCAGCATACTTGAGGGGCCTAGAGGAGCTTGTAACCTAACTTGCCAGTTTTTGCTTAAGAGAGAAGAAACTTGCATTTTGAAACACAACATTGAGTTCCTGTCAACACAAGCCTAAGCAAACTTATTGAACACATTCCATACATCATAACTAATCTAAAACACGAGCCAACCACTTCCAATACCTCCTAAAACACAGAAACACCATCTTGCTGCACAAAAACAGGGCATTCTGCACTTTGACTTGGCCAGCTCATTTCCATCGTGCATTTTCATCCAAACCACTTCATACACACTCCCTACCACCTATACAAACTATCCCAAGCATTGGACACGAACTGTAACATCCCTAACATCATTTTCCATTTTCACTTTTCTCTCTTGCAGGTTGACTTCTGTAGCTTGATATAGCAAGATTCAAAGCACACCAAGCATTGGAGAAGCATCCCTGAACTTCAAGCAAGCTGTACAAGTCCTCACATTGCACTGAAAGTACCTCCATTTTCATACACGAATCAAGCTGAACAGGTAAGTTTTTGAACTTCTATCTCTCTATCCAGGCATAGTTAGGTTTAAGTTTGTGAAGAAAACATGTTCTAATCATAGCCCTGAAACCATCCATATAGTTACTTTTCATTTATATTGTGTGTGTTAAGAGTATTTTGAACCTGAACATCTGAAAAAACTTAGGTCAGAAATTGGGGGAGAAGAAATTCTCTCTCATTTCTGAGAGTTAGATCAAGTTTTTTATATGTATGAACTCGTGACATGATGCTCTACATTTTTGGTGTTATGAGTTTTGCTTGAAAGTCCAGGAATCATGAGATAGCAGGAAGCGCGCGTTTTGCTCTGTTTGAATGTCTAGAGGTTGAAGACAAAGTCTTTGGGCTGGGCCTGTGTTGTTCTTTCTATTTGCACCACTTTTTCACACTTGCACCCCCTTGGCCCATTGTGTTTATTTTTATCATTTTTTGACTTTTTCTTTTTGTTTCTGACTTATTATTTTTTGCCAAAATATAAAAAATATTAAAAACTTTTTTTTCAACCATTTTTGCATTTTATTTGAATTTTATTTGTTTTATTTGAAGTTTATACATATAAATAACATATATATCCTTTTATTTAAAATACTAAAAAATACAAAATACATTTTATCTTCTGATTTTATTTTATTTTATCCCTTGAAAACATTTCCTAAAAAATATACTTTTTTTGTAAATAATAAATATTTTATTTTTTGTACATATTTAATATATTTAGTAAATAATATAAATACTTATATATTTATTAGAATATTTAGGATAAAAACATAAAAATAATACATTTTTATTTTTATTAATATTTAACTTAAAAAATCACTTTTTTTACAATATACTTCCTTTTAATTTATTTTTGTACATAATTAATAAATATTGCATATATTAAATAATAAATAGAAAATTAGGGTTTTGCCCTAAAAGCATAAAAATATCCAAAATTATTCATTTTTATTTTTGTTTATTTGTCACATGAAAAATACCTTTTTACATACATATAAAAATCATTTTTTGCATCTTGCAAATTTATCTTATTTTATTTAATTATTGTGCAATTAAATACCTTGTAAATTTCAATTTGGATGTAATAGTTAGATTTAAATTTCTTGCTAAATATCCCCCATTTGAACATTTGTACCCCCCATCCCATAATTATGTTGTAATAGTTTAGGACTTTAAATTTCACATTTAAAAGCTTTCTAAATATGCCATGATAGACTTAGGGTTTGTATGCAAAAATCAACCAAACAAATAGCTTGACCTAATTCAAAGATAACAAAGCATGAAAATGGACAACACCAATCACACTTGCACCCCCTTAGGGTTACTCCACTTTTTGCCTTCAATAATGGGCCATGTTGTATGTTAGGTGTCTTTGGCAAAACAAAACAATTCAAATGATCATAGTCCCTCGATGACGCTTTCAAAAGTTGCCTAAAAAATGATCAAGTCCCTTAAAGGAAAAATTGCCCAAAGAAACTTGGCACCATTGCAATCATGGTCTAAACGATAACCCGCGCCCGTCCCGTTCACAACCTAACACAAGATTGTCCACCAAATACAACGGTGGAACAAAATTGTTAAAAGGGTTAAAAACATAGCAAAGATCTTTGAGTAAATTTAGGAGTAGACAACTCTTGGTTACTTGCCAACTTGCAAAACAAAAACACTTGCCTATTTTTCAAAACCACACATCACAACACACTTTCAAAACAACTTTCAAAAACATTGAAAACTTTTCAAAAGACATACACCTTTGTATACATCCCAACATGGATCATTACAAAGGTTGCCACCACATTGGCCTCTTTTCAAAACATTTTTTCAAACCCACACACAAAGCACCATTTCAAACAATTGAAAACACCATTTCAAACAATTGGAAATCAAGGCAAGTTGATCTAAGCAAGTAACTAAGAGCCCATGGATAACCATGGATAGAAAGGGTGCTAATACCTTCCCTTTCTATAATCTACTCCTCGAACCCAAGAAAACATCTCAAAGGTTTTTGCTGTGCTTTTTAACGTTTCCTTAGGATAAAATAAAAAGTCGGTGGCGACTCTTGCTCAACCGAAACATTTGCGAAAACAAACGCAAAACCTCAAGTCAGTTCTCCCACCGTATCACAGGAGGATAACTCACATCCATATGGACCACTTAAACAAGTTGGTCTACAAGGATCTCATGACCAATCTTCCAGATTTACATTTTGAAAAGAATAGATTATGTGATGCTTTCAAAAAGGGTAAGCAAGTAAGGATTTCTTTTAAATCAAAGAAAATTGTTTCCGCAGAGTGGCCCTTACAACTAATTCATGTGGATCTTTTTGGCCCATCTGGAATTGTAATTCTTGGTGGCAATGTCCGCTCCCTTGTAGTTATGGATGACAACTCTTATGATACCCAGACATTATTCTTATCTCATAAAATATACATGTTTGGTGCCTTTCAAAAGCTATCCAAGGTTATCCAAAATGAGAAATGTTTAAGCATTGCATCCATCAAAAGCGATCATAATGGAGATTCCGGAATGAGGAATTTGTAAGGTTTTGTAACAATAACGACATTTGGAATACTTTTCCTCCCCGCGAACTCCCTAATAAACTAGGTTAGCATAGATGAAAAATAGATCTCTAGAAGAGCTTGCGAGGACGATGCCCAATGAGCAAATCTTTCAAAATACTTTTGGGCTAATGCAATAAGCATTGCTTGCTATGTTATAAATTGTGTCTTGATAAACTAATACTAAAGCTGAAACCCTGTGAGTTATATAGAGGAAGAAAGTCGAATATTTCTCACTTACGTGTTTTTGGGTGCAAAAGATTTATCCTTAACAACATGAAGGATAATCTTGAAAAATTTGACGCAAAGGCTGATGAACAGATATTCATAGGATATTTCACTTTGATAAAATCCTTTAGAATCTTTAAAAAAAGAATCCTGACTATAGAAGATTTTGTTCTTGTTACCTTTGATGAAGTTGTCCATGTACTTGTAGAAGTAGAGATTTTTAATTGTGCATGTATCTTAGAAAATACAATCCTAAAAGAAAAGGAAAAAGATCAAGACCTGGAATTTCAAGATCAAATCCAAGATCAAGAATATGTTCAAGATCTAAATAAAGAAACTTTTGCGGATCTTCAAGATCTTTTGAAGGAATGGAGGATGGCCAATGACCATCTTATTCAAAATGTCATTAGAGATATTTTCAAGGGAGTTACCATTAAACACTCACTTAACAAGGTATGTAACATTGGAGATTACGTTTCACGACTTGATTCTAAGGGAATTGACGAGTCTATCATTGATGAACATTACTCTCTTGTTATGCAAGAAGAGTTAAATCAATTGGAAGAAACAATGTTTGAAAATGTGTTCCCAAAGCCCCGGCTAATCAAGTGATTTGTAAGCAATGGGTATATTACAAAGTTTGACAAAGACGAAAATGTTTTAAGAAAAAAATTCAAGTTTGTTACTAAATGATACACTTAATAGGAAGACATAGATTTTGATGAAATTTATACTCTTATAACTTGATTGAAAGCGATAAGGATGTTGTTAATTTTTCTCGCATCATGAATCTTAAACTCTTCCAAATAAATACAAAGAGCGTATTCTTGAATGATCACATCCTAATAACCTTCATAATAACATGAATTATTCCTTACAATATAACCATTCTAACCATTCCTTACAATAATATAATCATAAAAAAATTCAAAATCCTATGATTTTATACTGAATATTTAAAATTAAAAAAAAGAAAAACTAGTGTAAAATCATCCTTTTTACATCGTATTTTTCAAACACATTCTCATATGGAACCATCTAAGGTACTATTATATGTTTATTTATCGGTGGATATAAGTATAATTGTATTTTTGTATTTTATCAAAAAAATCAAATAAAATTACTAAATGTTACGATTGATTTCAAAATATAGGTGACAGTAGTGACACTTATAATTAAAAAGTTGAGGTTATAAATGCAAATCTTACATCTTGCTTAGCTTACTTACTTCTCCAGCATTAAAATCTTTCCTTTTTTACATCTAAATCTCTTATTTTCTCTCACCAACAACAACATAACACTAGTTATACTTTCCAACAACTAACTGTTTTTAGAAATGTTGTTCCATGTCTTAAATGCCGTTCAACACAAATAAGTGGTTCATCACAGCACACATTATTCACAATATCCTTTGATTTATCACCCATCCATTTTTGGTATCATCACTATTTATTAAGATATACTAGTACACTTTCCTTCAGATAGTACATTTGTTTGCTATTGATTGGAAGAAATGGAGGTTCAGAGTAAGGAGTTGAAGGGAAGTGGGGTGGCAAAGTCTTCACTAGAAGGAAAATGTAATTTGCTTCTAAGGCTTTGTGCTTTGGTGCTAACACTTGTGGCTGTTGGAGTTATTGTTTCAGATAAACAGACCAAAGTTGTTCCAATTAGGATTTCAGATTCTTTGCCACCTTTGGATATTCCTGTTACTGCTAAGTGGCATTACATGTCTGCCTATGTGTAAGTTTTCTTATTACATTATTTTCTATTTTTGTGATATTATTTTTAGATATTGTTTCTATAGTTTAAGTTTATTATTGTTAGTCCTTTATATCTTTTGATCTTCTAATATAAATTAGATGATTAGGCATGCTGGCATTATATATGTCACCTTCTATTTTGGTATTAGAAAACGTTACAAATTAAAACAAGAAAATTTTATACTACATTAGTTTTAATTTTATAAAAAAATTATAAAATAATTATTTTTTATCTCTAACTCAAATGAAAATAAGTAATATTTATGACAAAATTAAAAATTATAATTATTAAACAAATTATTTTAAATATTTGAACTTATAAGCTATATAACATAAGTTACAAATTTAAAATATAAATTTTATCAAATAGATTCTATGTAGTGACTCATTCTAAGAGAAAAAACACTCTCTCACAAAAAAAAAAACATATTTAAATAAGAGCAATGATATTTTATGTTAAGTGTAATTTTGAGGTGTATTAATATATTATTGAAATTTGTTTAAATATATGTAATGAAAAGAGGTGTGCTATGTTGACACCTGAAAATTGTTACACCGTATGTACAGCGTAATATTTTCAACATATTTTAGTTTGACACAAAAATCAAGGTAATATAAAATTGTTAAAATAAACAAAAATGCATCTTAACGTATGAATATGCGGTGTTGTTCTAAGACTTAGTGTCAAGTTAGCATTTCACAAATGAAAAAGTAGGAGAGAAATAGATATATTGATATACGGTTGATATACGGTATTAAATATGATGTGAAATATTAGGTGTTTAAATAATATTTCTCTTTAAATAATGGTTTAAACAATCTTGAGTTCCTTATTTATATATATATATATATATATATATGACTGACATGTCTCAAACAAAATTTTTCATGTATTAGGTATTATGTAGTGGCAAATGTTATAGCATGTGCATATGCAACCTTATCTTTCATTATTGCTCTTGCAAATGGACACAAAAGCAAATTGTTGGTGAGATTGATCACTCTACTTGATGCAACAATGGTAGCTTTACTCTTCTCTGGCAATGGTGCTGCCTTGGCTATTGGTGTTCTTGCCAAGCATGGAAACTCACATGTGTTGTGGAATAAAGTGTGCAATGTTTTTGACAAGTTTTGTAACCAAGTTGCTGCTTCATGTTTGATTTCACTTCTAGGATCATTAGTATTCCTCTTGCTTGTCATGCTTCATGGTTTAAGAAGAACCTAAGATGTATGATTTGAAGAATCTGTTTGATCAATGATTTTTATGTGATTAACTCTTTGTTGTGCACAACTTTTTTTCCATATCTTGTATGTGGCATAATAATATTGAGATATTTTCCGTTGTAACACTCGTTAAAAACTTATTTATCTAAAAATGTGTGATGGGTTGAGTTTGCAACATATGAATGCATGTTGTTTATACTTTTTGTTTTCACTTCACGTGGTATTTATTTCTGAATTGGTGGGACATATTAGATACGTTGGATATATGTTATGATGTAACGGGGTGCTCTCAAGAACAAATCGAAATTATGAGTTTTTTGAACAAACATAAGAAATCCTATTAGATTTTCACAAAAGAGAGAGAGAAGAGGGAAGAAGAAGGAAATTAGGATTTGTAACTGTTTTTCTATTCACTTACTCAATAAGGATTTACATATTATAAGTGAATAACAACAATCAACCTCTCTCAACAACCTGAGAGAGCGAGTATATTTATAAACTACTAAACTAACTTAGACTACAAGCTAACTTAAACATTTGGGCTTAAACACATGTCCAATTTGATATGCTAACAAATCTAGTATTATCGACTATTGCATACTAGAATACAATTCAACTACAGAATACATGATTTCAACATCAGCATGTGAACCGACTTCGACAACATGTTAAATCTTTGTCGAATCAAGAAGTTATCCTTGTCGAGATACTAGAGTTCGATCCAAAATCACACGAATCTCTACCTTGAAACAAGCTCTACAACACCAGGTGAACAAACTAGATTTCTTCATGCAGCTTTATCAACTTCATACAGTGGAAAATTTGCAACTTGACAATGTCTTGGTGATCATATCAGGAGCATTTTGATTTGTCAAAACCTTCATCACTTGGACTTCTCCATGCTCAATTATTTCTATGACGAAATGCAACCTCATATCGATGAGCTTGGTTCGCTCATGATAAGCTAAATTCTTCGACAAATGTATGACACTTTGATTGTCACATTTAACAGTGATAACTCGGCCTTGAAGTTTCAGCTCCATAGCAAAATATTCAAGCCATAATGCTTCTTTCACAGCTTCAGTGAGAAAAATATATTCTGCTTAAGTGGTTGATAAGGCAACAACCCTCTGAAGTGTCGCTTTCCAACTGATTGTTGTGCCAAACATAGTGAAAACATATTCAGAAATAGATTTTCTGGAATTCATACAACCTGTATAATCAGAGTCGACAAATCCTTTTATTTCTGCTTTACTATCATCACAACAAGTTTTACCATAAATCAAGACTCTGTTCAGAGACTCATTTATGTACCTTAGAATCCAGTTCAATGTTTTCCAATGCGTCTTTCCAGTATTGGATATATACCTGTAGTTGCACCCCAAAATTTTCCCTCTCTTTTTTAATACATTTCTCACAAAGGTTGTCTAATGCTCAAGGATTCTCAAGAAATTGATCAGACAAAATAATCTCCGAAGCACTGAGACTCCAAATTAGGATTTTGATTGAGAATGACCAATCTTTGACTTTTGACTCAGTACATGACTTATTGGTTCGAAACATGATCTCAAGAGTTCAAGTACATCATTTTGACTTAATCGCATATTTCAATTCAGCTACCGAGATCAGTGGATTGATAGATGAAATTTGGTCAACCGATAAAAAAGTCAATTGTATACTGAAAAGTCAAACTTTGACTTTTTTATCAAATTTAAGTTTCAAAAATCACATTTCACCAAGACATTCAAAATATGAAATTTGATCATCAAGAAAATCAAAAATCAAACTTTGCAAGACTTAAAAAAATTTCTAAGTGTTTTTCTATACATGTTAATTTCATTATTTCATGACATCTTTTCACCACAATTCAAGACAATTCAAGTTGTTACAAACTTTCAAGTAAAAACAAGGCTGCATTATTAAGTTAAAAATTGCAAGTTATAAATCCTAAACTTTGTCTTGTTTGAACTTTTCTCTTTGACTCAATCTTCAAACTTTGCCACTATGCTACCCACAAATATGCCTTGCCTTTGTTACAAGCAGCATGAATCTGTCCATAAAACCAGACTTGTATCATACTACAAATATTGTTGTCCAGAAAATCCCCAAAAACATATATGCTGCCAAGTCCAAGCCTGCTGCTACTAGCCCAAAATCATGTTAAAAAATAGTCTATTGTCCTGTACAAAGCCAGCCCTGCACCAAGCTGCCACTCCACTCCAAAATAGCTACAAAACAGTCTTGCTATGCTGTCTCTAACCCTATAAAAAAACTTATCTATTTCCCTCCCAAATTTCAGTCATTTCATCTATAAATAAATTGTTTCACAACACATCTAAAGGGGGGGGGGGGTTAAGAGAGGTTTTTTGAAAGAGAAAGAGAAAGAAATCTGAAAAAATCTAACATAACTTTTTGTAACCTCTGCTCATCTTCAGCTCTATCTTCATTCACAAAAACAAAACCCCAACCCACTATTGCACCTTGCAAGCCTTCCCATAAACCAACTATCCAAACACTTCACATTATATAGATATTGTTCAAACACAAGAATAGTTTTTGTAGTGCCATTATCATCACCTTCCACACAAACAAAAGACAATATTGTACAACTTGACTGGGTTGGAGTGATTCAGTAGCTTTCAAATACAGAGTGAGGGTTAGAGAAACTTCCTGGAGGTTCACTAAAGTCATTCTGATCATCACAACATTTTGAAAGGTGTTCAAACTGAAAACACAAATTTCAGTTTCAAGGTGAGTCTTCTTAACTTTGAGCTCTTCATTTTAAGCACCATTAGTGAAGATAAATGTAGATATCATGCCTTGAAGCTAACCATATGCTATCTCTTCATTTTTATCAATTATATGTTGAGAACTGACTTGTACATGTAGCAGAACAATGTTAGAAGTGAAAAAAAGGTTATGAGTCGATGCATATCTCTATGTGTCGGCACATATATGGTGCAAAACAGATTATGGGTCAACACGAAACACACATGAGTCAACTCATTTTAGTTACAGAAAAGGGTATGAGTCGACACAAGGCCTTATGCATCGATGCATACTATTATCCAGGCACAATACAGAGAGACAAAAGGTGTATGAGTCGACACAAAACACAAATGTGTCGAAACAAATAAGAAATGAGTCGACACATACCATTATGTATCGACTCATACTTAGTTGATTTTGTTTTTCAGAAACAAGTTGTGGCATGTATCGATGCATAAAGATATTGTGTCAATACATAAAGTTTGTTTTTCTTTCTTTGTACACTATTTTCCTTTTTATATTTTTATTGCTATTCAATATGGTTGTAATAATTTAATTAGGCTTGTATTTCATCCTCATTTGTAAATTGTACCCCCATCCCCCAAGTGATGTAATAGCGTAGGATTTTAATTTCCGCAGTTTATCGCTTTAATATAATTGTTAGTAATTAGGGTGTGTATGGCAAGATAAAATCAACCTTCGGAAAACCCTAATCTCAAAGACAAAAATGCGTGCAATCAAACACACTTTTCACACTCTCACCTCTAGAGTAACCTCGCTTGTTGCTATGAATACATAGTCATGTCCCTCGAATATGGGACGCTTTAGAAAACACCCTCGATAAAAAGATCGTAGTCCCTCGATGACCCTTCGACGTTGCCTTCGATAAAACGATCTTAGTCCCTTGCGAAAATTGCTAAAGCATCTCATAAGTTGCCTTCTATGACTATTTGATGACCCGCGCTCGTCCCTTCACATCCAATGGTAGGGCTTATTATTAATCAATGGTAAGATAGAAACATCTAAAGGAGGAGGAAAAGAACTAAGACCCTTTTGAGTAGGTAGAACGTTCATAGTTGTTTGCTCACAACATTTTCAAAACAACATCTTTCAAAATACACCAACACTTTCAAAACAAAATATTTTCAAAAGATCAACACTTTGTATACATTCTTATAGAGAAGAGAATCATTACAAAGTTCTCCTAAACGAATGCACTTTTCAAAAATACTTTCAAATCCAATCACGAACACATTTCAAACAAAGTATTTCAAAGTGAGCTAGCAACTAAGAGCCCGTAGATAACTACGAATGAAAAGGGTGCTAACACCTTCCCTTTTCATAACCTACCCCTCGAACTCAAGAGAATATCTCAAAAGGTCTTTCCTTTTCTTTTCACCCTTTCTTTATTGGATAAAAGAAAAGTCGATAGCGACTCTTGCTATCTGCAACAATTGCGATCAAATGCAAAACACACAAGTCAATTCTCCCACCATATTACAGAATTGGTGACTCTGCTAGAGATTATGTTTAAAAGTGGGGTTACCTTAGAGCTAGATCACCTTTAAATTCTTTCATTGTTTGATTTGTTTTCTTTGCATTTATGGGTCCTTATTTGGGTTTTTGTTGATCCTCCACCCGGATCGGGGAACATTATTAGGTAAGTAGCAATAAATTGTGAAAATTATATGGCGTAGACCGATATGGTTGAAGAAATGGCTATGTTAGTGTGATGTATTTGCTGGTATCGGTATCCCTTGTGTTGAATCGAGGAGAATACGGGGAAGCTGAGCAGTGTCATGAAGCACTAACTGACCGTAGAACCTTTAATTGAACAAGTTGGCCATTAGGAAGTAGTGAGATAGCCGACTTTGATGCAAAGCTGAAGATTGGTTGATACTCGATACTACGCTCATTGAGATTGGACTTTTGGGATATTTCAGAAGCAAGAAAAGATTTATTATGCTAAGACAATGCCCAATGAAGAAAGATCAATGATATTGAGATTCCCTAGAACCCGATTACTTTGTAAGACAGGTTGAACCCACTAAACTTCAAGAGGGTACTTACCTATGAAACTCATGCAAGCCTAAACCTAAGGTTTTTGTGTGCTTTGTTTGTGATTATTATTCATGACATCATAAACATAATAACATCATAATCATTCTCACTAACCATTTCAAGGACTTAGGAATTTATCTTTGTTATGTTTTGTAGGTTATGACTTCCACTCGTAGGAATACCATCTGAGTCAACTTCGTGAAAGTGAATCCTCAACTTCAAGAGTTAGCATCAAGAGTGCCTGGAGATTCTCCCTTCACCAAGAAATATGGTCGACTTCTCAACTTGGCTACCTCAAACTTCCAAGAAGAAATGATGTGTGTGCTTTTCCAATTCTTTAATTTTTCGCGCGCATTTTCTTCTTTCGCACTTTTATATTCCTGTACATATCAATGTGGCCAAACTATAAGGTATTTTTATTGTTTTCCTTTATATTTCTCCCGGTTTTGGACTTGTAATTAAATCCCTCTCCCTGAAGCCATGTAATAGCGTAGGAATTTACGTTTCCGCACTTTATATTTTTGTACATATATTAATTGTTCGATGTGTGGCTAATAGGATTGCATGAACAAGATAAAACCAATCACTAGAAAACTAAACACAAAGACTAATATATCTGAAATCAAATACACTCGCACATGCACACTCCTAGGGTATCCCCACTTCGGTTGCCTTCGGAAAATGGTCATGAAGTATAGGGACTTTTGGTGGTTTCCCTCTAGTCTCAAAAGATAAAAAATGACCCATTCGAATGTTGCCTCAGAAAGATCTTTAAGACTCTAGGGTAACTACTAAGGTTTATTAACCATTTCTTTAGTGATCGTAATCGTCCCTTTCGATTGTCCCTTAAACTCCAACGATGGAGCTACCTACTCCTTAATAGTAGGATAGTGCTGTCTAAAAGAAATAAGAAAATGAATAGCCTTTTTCGAGTAGGTAGAAACTTTTAAGTACTTGATCAAAATAAACTTTTACACCATACACTTTCAAACAAACTTTTCAAACTAAAGTTTTCAAAAACATTTTATCACACTCTTGAGGACTGATACAAGGGTTACCATAAAGTGAAATGCCTCACTAAGGCAATTTTCAAAACTTTTCAAACCACAAACACAAAAGCAATTTTAAGAATGAGCAAGTACCTAAGAGCCCATGGAAAACCATGGATAGAAAGGGTGTTAACACCTTCCCTTTCTATAATCTACCCTTCGTACTCAGAAACATCTCGAAAAATGTTTTTCTGTTCTTTTTCTCTTTTCCTTTGTTGGATGAAATAAAAGATGGTGACGACTCTTGTTTACCGTACATTTGCAAACAAAAAATGCAAAACCAGTAGTAACAAAAAACACTCAGTTCTGCCACCGTATCACAAAACTGGCAACTTCATCCCTTCAAGCAAGTTACTATAAAGCCTGGAATCCGACCAGATAACAGTTAAATTCAGTAAGTTGTTACGAAGCCTGGAATTCGACCAGATAACAATTAACTTCATACTCCCGAGAAAGTTTCTGCGAAGCCTGGAATTCGACAAGATAACAGTTAACTTCAATTTTCTGCGAAGCCTGGAATTCAACCAGATAACAGTTTAATTTCATCTAAGTTGCTGTGAAGCCTGGGGTCCAACCAGATAACAGTTTAACTTCAATTTTCGGTGAAGCTTGGAATCTGACCAAATAACAGTTAAATTCATCTAAGTTGCTGCGAAGCCTGGGGTCCAACCAGATAACAGTTTAACTTTAATTTTCTGCGAAGCCTAGAATCCGACCAGATAACAGTTAATTTCATCTAAGTTGCTGCGAAGCCTAGAATCCGACCAGATAACAACTTAACTTCAATTACTGTGAAGCTTGGAATTCTACCAGATAACAGTTAAATTTAGTAAGTTATTGTGAAGCCTGGAATCCGACCAGATAACAATTAACTTCATACTCCTGAGCAAGTTTCTGCGAAGCTTGGAATCCGACCAGATAACAGTTTAACTTTATAAGTTGTTGTGAAGCCTGGAATCCGACCAGATAACAGTTAAACTTCATTCTTTCAAGTAATTTCATGTGAAGTGTGGAACCCGACTAGATAACAGTTAATTTCACCTTCCCAGAAAGTTGCTGCGAAGCCTGAAATACGACCAGATAACAGTTAACTTTATTACCCCCATTAAGTCGAAAGTTACTACAAAGCCTGGATTTCGACCAGATAACAGATAACTTTCACTCTCCACAATCAAATATAATTCCCCATTAGAGTAATGGACAACTCCTGAAATCTATTCCCCAAGCAGAGATCAACACTCCTTACAGAGTTTCCTCAAGCAAATAGCCAAAATCAATGTTCCACGGTAGATTTCTCCTCAAATAACAAAACAGGAATACCAGCGGAAACATTCTAAACAAGGTTTGAATATATGCATACTCTTCATCTCCAACAGCAGTTTGGGATTTAACTTCCCAAAGCTCCACAACATTTGTCAAGGATTTATTTTCCAGGATAAAGATACACTTCAACAACATTTCACATTCATACATCATATTACACACATGACAAATGCATACAACATAATCTCATTTATTTTGAGAATATCACTACGCCATGCATACGTCTGCATGTAACTAACCCTTTTCTTTGCAGGAAAAAACAACCAATAAAACGAAGACCTCTTTTGGTTAGAATTCACTTCTACCAGTTAATGACAAGCAATCTACAGTCCTCTTCTGGTGATATTTACTTCTTCCAGTTAATGACAGGCAATTAACAGACCTTTTCTGGTTAAGATTATTTCCCCAGTGAAGTCGCCAAACAACAGACCTCTTCTGTCACTCTGGATGGCATCTGTAAGCCCATCTCCGACAAACTCTTCATCACTTCTCCAAATGGCATCTTTAAGCCCATTCCCAACACAATCAACTAACACATCATCAAGTGCAAATTTCTGGGCACTCTAGTGTTCAATCATCTTCCACCTTTAAGTCACGAATGGCGGACCCGCCAATCTAACTCTTCAGGTTTAAGAAGATTGAACAAGGGAAGCTGTTGTACCCCAAAATTTGCCCTCTCTTTTTTAAGACATTCCTCATAAAGGATCTCCAATACTCAAGGATTCTCAAGGAATTGATCAGACAAAATCATCTCTGAAGCACTGAGACTCTAAATTAGGGTTTTGATTGAAATACCAATCTTTGAATTTTGACCCAGTACGTGACTTATTGGTTCGAAACATGATCTCAAGGGTTCAAGTACATCATTTTGACTTAATCATGTATTTCAATTCATCTCCCGAGATCAGTGGATTGATAGATGAAATTTGGTCAACCGATGAAAAAGTCAATTGTATACTCAAAAGTCAAACTTTGACTTTTTGATCAAATTTGAGTTTCAAAAATCACATTTCACCAAGACATTCAAAATATGAAATTTGATCATCAAGAAATCAAGAAAATCAAAAATCAAACTTTGCAAGACTTGGAAATTTTTCTAAGTGTTTTTCTATACATGTTAATTTCATTATTTCATGACATCTTTTCACCACAATTCAAGTTAATTCAAGTTATTACAAGCTTTCAAGTAAACAACAATGTTGTTGTCCATAAGTTGCCTTCTATGACTATACGATGATCAACGCCCGTCCCTTCACATCCAACGATAGGGCTTCTTATTAATCAATGGTAAGATAGCAACATCTAAAGGGGGAGGAAAAGAACTAAGACCCTTTTGAGTAGGTAGAACGTTCATAGTTGCTTGCTCACAATATTTTCAAAACAACATCTTTCAAAACACACCAACACTTTCAAAACGAAATATTTTCAAAAGGTCAACACTTTGTATACATTCTTATTGAGACGAGAATCATTACAAAGTTCGCCTAAACAAAGGCACTTTTCGAAAATACTTTCAAAGCCAATCACGAACACATTTCAAACAAAGCATTTCAAAGTGAGCTAGCAACTAAGAGCCCGTAGATAACTACAGATGAAAAGGGTACTAACACCTTCCCTTTTCATAACCTACCCCCCGAACTCAAGAGAATATCTCAAAAGGTCTTTCTTGTTCTTTTCACCGTTTTCTTTATTGGATAAAAGAAAAATTGATGGCGACTCTTGCTATCCGCAACAATTGCGATCAAACGCAAAATACACAAGTCAGTTCTCCCACCGTATTACGCCTACTTACAAGGTACACTTCATACGATATGTCTGGCCTTGTATAGACCATAACATACATCAAAGAAACTATTATATTAGCATATGGAATTTTATTCATATAGGCTCTTTTGACTTCAGTACTAGGACTATGTGTCGTACTCAACTTGAACTCAGGATTTGTCGGTGTTACAATAGGATTTGAATTTGACATACTAAATTTATCGATAATATTCTATAGGTAAGTCTCTTGAGATAAGCATAATTTTGAATGCTTTATGTCTCTCTGGATGTCAATCCCAAAAATTCTGGAGGCAACTCTCAGATCCTTCATATCGAACTCCTTATCGAGTTTAGCATTCACCTTCACTATATCCTCGGCACAGTTGCTTTCTATGAGCATGTCATCTATATAAAGCAAATAAAAAATACATTTTAAGGTCAAAATTTAAAGTAAACGCATTGATCGAATTGACTCCTAATAATACCTATGTGTGCCATAAACTTGTCAAATCTCATATTCCATTGTCGAAGAGATTATTTCGATCCATATAAAGAACACAAAAGTTTGAATTTTACTTACAAATTATTACAGAGGAAATATATAGCATCAAAAAATTTAATTTTACATATTTGGTTTTCAACACGTGTCAATTATTAGTATATTCATGTTGATGACCGTTTTTTAATGGATGTAAGGCCAAGCTTTGTTGATAATTAATCTAAAATAAAATAGTAAAAAGTAAGGAATAAATCTTGTAGGAATGGTGCATGGTGAGCTAAAGGGATAAAAATCCCCACAAACTCCAAACCATACATCCTGCCAATAGACAAGAGCGTGAGTTCACATTTCTTTTCTTGAGCAAACAAGCATGACTTCACTTTTAAATTTAGTTACATAAAAAAATAAACATATCTAAATAATGGTTTCAACATATGTTGAGTTCCTTATATATGAATGACACGTCTCAAACAAAATTTTCCATGTATTAGGTATTATATGGTGGCAAATGTTATAGCATGTGCTTATGCAACCTTATCTTTTATTATTGCTCTTGCAAATGGATACAAAAGCAAATTGTTGGTGAAATTGATCACTCTACTTTATGCAACAATGGTAGATTTACTCTTCTCTGGAAATGGCGTTGCCTTGGCTATTGGTGTTCTTGCCAAGCATGGAAACTCACATGTGTTATGGAACAAAGTGTGCAATGTTTTTGACAAGTTTTGTAACCAAGTTGCTGCTTCATGTTTGATTTCACTTCTTGGATCATTAGTATTCCTCTTGCACTTGTCATTCTTCCTGCTTTGAGAAGAAACTAAGATGCATGATTTGGATAGGTTGTTTGAACAATTATTTTTATATGATTAACTGTTTGCTTTCTATAACTTTTTTATCATATTTTAGGTGTAATATAATAATGTTGAGATGTTTTTCGTTGTAACATTTGTTGAAACTTATTTGATTAGAAATATGTGATGGGTTGAACTTGCAACATATGAATACATGTTTCCACTTCACGGGGTACCTATTTCTGAATTGGTGGGACATATTGGTTATGTTGGACATATGCTCCTTGTATTGAGTTCTTTATTAAAGGTGGAAAATAATTCAGCATTTTAGAGTGTGGTAGAAAATTTAAGTGGGCATACTTCTTATGTGAATGAATCTTTGGGTTTCTTCAATATTAGATGAAGTAGAATGAATATGGAATAGCTCAATGCATGCTTTGCTTGCATGCTTTATTAATTGATTGATACAAAAGAGAATCTACAACTATATATATACATGCATATTTGAAGTTTGTTGTAACTAACTTGAGAGTTAGTTAATCTCTCTAACCACCTAACTATGCTAACCTACATAAGAGATATCATGGTCATGCATGCTTATCATGTACAATTGCATGACCTTCATCTAATACGTCCCTGTAAGCTTATGGGGCATCGAAAGTAGACACCTTGAGTTTGTCACGAAAAGCAGAAAAACATAGATTTAGGTAGCGACTTTGTGAGAGCATAAACCAGTTGAGCATGTGCAGGAACATGTTGAATCTGAAGTTGATTAGCTACCACTTTTTCACGAACAAAATATATGTCCAGTTCTATGTGTTTGGTTCGCGCGTGCAAGACGGGATTGTGAGCTAGCGTCATTGCACTGATGTTATCACATATAAGCATAAGGACATAATGCTCAATTTTGAGCTCATATAGAAGTGATTAAAGCCATAGTGGTTCAGTTGTAGTGTGAGTTAACGCGTGATACTCTGCTTCCGTGCTTGAGCGAGCCACCAACACTTGCTTCTTGGACCTCAATGTTATGATATTCGGGCCAAATAACACACACGAGCCTGATGTTAAACGTCTGTTATTTGGGTCACTGACCCAGTCATAGTCACTATACGCACGAAGAGAAAGTTATGATAGGTGTGTGGCTGGTGCAATTAGAAGACCATACGTAGTTTTTTCACCCAAGTAACGTAATATGCACTTAATTATAGACCAGTGAGATTCCAAGGGTGATGCCATGAATTGGCATGCTTTGTTGTTTAAAACACGATGTATGGTTGAGTGAGCATGACATATTGTAAAGCGCCAAATGTGGACCGATATAGAAGAGGATCTAGGAAGATATTAGTGCCATGTTTTCTTAACTTGCATTGACTAAACTTGGGAGTGGAAACACCTTTTGCCTCATTCATATTAACCTTGGCAAGTTAGTCTCTAATATACTTTATTTAAGTGAGTAAGAGTGTTCCTCTGGCCTATTGATGGACCTCAATGCCCAGAGTGTATCATGGAGTGTCAAGTTTCTTGAGTGCAAACTTGTCATGTAGTTTATCAATGAGGACATGGATAAGTTTAGTGTATGAATCAATGACAAGTATATCATCCACATAGAATAAGGCATACATCGTGACATTATTATGATTGTAGATAAAAAGTGAATGATCACAACAACTAGAGACAAAGCTAGATTGAATTAAGGCATGAAGTATTTTCTCATACCATGCGTATGGAGCTTGCTTGAGGCCATATATCACCTTTTTGAGTTTGCAGACTAAGAAAGCATCGGAGTTATGAAAGTCTAGTGGTTGATCCATGAAAACTTCTTCATGAAGGTCCTAATTGAGAAATGTTTTATTGATATCAATTTGCTAAATATCCAACTTAATAGTTGTTGTACCCGAAAATTTGCTCTCTCATTTATCAAGACTTTTCTCACAAGATCTCTTTGACTCAAGATTGGATTAGGGTTTGGTCAGCTCAAGACATCTCATCTTACACTGATAACCCAAAATTAGGGTTTGAGTTTGCACAAGGATTTTTTTACTATCAATGCTTCATGTGACTTTCAAGCATCATTATGGAACCCCAAGTTTACTCATGTCAAGTTTCAAGCCTTGGATCACACTTTTGCTCAGTCAATTGGACAGTTGACCTAAAAATCAATTGTATTAGGGAAAAAGTCAACCATGGCCAATTTACAGTCAAACTTCATAATTTTTTATCTACATCAACATTTTAGAATCATATGTATCATTTGATCAAGTTTGGATTACAATTCCTCAAGAAATTTGATCAAATCACAAAAAGGGCAAAATGGTCAAAATTAGGGTTTTGACTGAGGAAGGGCAATTTCTGATTTTTAACCTAGCAAATGACCAATTGAGTTCAAGCATGATTTCAAGTATTCAATGGAATCATCTTGACTTAATTACATGGCTCAAAACATCTCAAATTCATTGGATTGACAAATGAAATTTGTAGTCAACTGATCAAAAGTCAACTGTATACTAAAAAGTCAAACTTTGACTTTTTGGTCACAATCAAGTACCAAGGGTCATAATTCATCAAAACATGTCAAAATGCGAAACTTGTTCATCAAGAAAACCAAATTTGAAAATTAGGGTTTGAATTTGAAAATTTTCCTAACTTAGAAATTTTCAAGTATGGAAAGTTTTCTTATTTTTTCTCAACTTTAGGGTACTTTTTCACCATGATGCATATTGATTCAAGGAAAGTCCCCAACATGAAAGTTGTATACCCCCATGAAATATACAACTTTTCTTCACACACTTTTCCCTAAATATGCTCGGATCTCAAGTTATAAATTTGTGAATACATGGTCATGAACTTATTAACTTAGTGAAATTTTGCCCTAATTTAGGCAGGTTTTGGACCCAACTTCATGGAAAATTTTCACCTAGTTCCAAGAGGTATCTCAAAATTAATTTCAAATATGGATTATAGAGCACATTGTAAGATTTCCAAAATGTCCAAGAACTCCTCAAGATCATTATTGAGTAGGGAGAATCGAAGAGATGAAGTTGGCAATTTCTCACTTTTTATCCAAGCAAATTAATGAAGAACAAAGTTGCAAATCAATCATATGTTGGCTAATTCATGTTGTACAGGTCCTAAACTTGTTCCACACTCCTTAATTAAATGCTTACTCAGTTGAAAAAGCTTTGATCCATGCTTTTGAACCTTTATCCAACTTGTAATTCCATTTATGGCAAAAAGGTATCATTGCCATTTTGAAAAAGAGCAACTTTTGCAAACTTTACAAACTTGAGAATTGGACCTGTCCCCTTGATACATACAAGTACCACAGACCAAAGGAAACTTGTAGGGAAGAAATACCAACCCTAAGCAAGCCAGTACAAGCATGTGAGCTTTATCTTATCACTTTGCTTCAAGTACAAGAAAAGTTGCAAAAAGGTTAGGGCTTGCGCAGCTGATAGAGGGTTGAGACAAAACCATTTCAATACTAATATACAAATAATATACAACACAAGGCACGATTGGCAAGGACCTGAAACACTCCCAACCAGCAAAAACACCAAAATCTGTCCAAAACTGCAGATTTTGCATAAGCACATCCATCTTCCATTTGGCTCGTGCGTTTTGAGTTTGGACCATTCAAACACCTTACAAACTTGATACCTAGTCAATTCAGGCCTTCATCCCTGTTCTGTAATCACTCCTCCACTATCTGCCATTGTTAACTTCAGAGTTTGCAGTTGGACTTGGCCAAGGAGTTCCAGCTACTTTCAGAGCAAGGCAAGGGTTAGAATAGATTCAGGGAAGCTCAAGGAAGCTCAAGGAAGCTCAAGCAAGCATCAGGCCTCCCTCAAACTCATCCCAGTTTCATCCACGATTCCAGATGAAGGAGGTAAAATCTCAAACTCTATCTCTTTGTACAGGCAACCTTAAGCCACGGTTTGTGAATAAAAAATATAGTCCTCATCATAACGAAGTTGTACATACCATTATCTTGTATTGATTTTACTTGAGCTAAGAGAATTTGGAAGTTGAAATTTATGAAAATATTAGGTTAAGATTTAGGGCTTTTAAAATTCTCTTTGATCTTTGATAGTTAGATTACATAGCTTACATGGTTGGAATCGTGGGTCAAGTACCACAATTTTCATGTTATGCATTTTCATTTATGGAAGTATGAGGAAGATACAGGATGTCTGGCCAAAGCTTGAGGAAGAAGATGAAACAGGGCATAGGGCGCGTTTTGTAATATGTTATTTTTGTTTCACTGAAGATAATGGAAGTATAGCCACCCCAGTGGCAAAGTAGCGTGCTGGTGAGATCCATGTCCTGGGTTCGAACCTGGGCGCGCTACTTTTATATTTTTCACTCTTTTTCTTTTCCATTTCACATTTTTGCAGGTTGGGCTTGGTCTTTTGGGCCAAATTTTTTTTGCTATCATCATCACCACTAATATGCTACCTTACCCCCCTTGCCAACTTTTATATTTTTTTATTTTATTTTTCATTTGTTTTTATTTGTTTTATTTTTATTTTAAATATTTTAAATATTTTCTTTAATACATAAAAATCCCAAAAAAATGTAAATTTAATCATATTGCATTTTTATTTTATTTTAGTTTATTTTGCACATAAAAATACATTTTATTTTAATAGTATATCATTCATTTTCTTAATAAACTTGTAAATATATTTAAACATATTTATTTCAATTTATTTTTCATTTCATACTTATAAATACTTATTTTTGCATATATTTAATTTTAATATTTATATACAATATTATTTATTATTTTTATACAAGAAAAGGCACAAAAATATATAGAAACTTTATTTTCTCTTAAATAATAATTAGGATTAAACCCCTTTAAGAAAATTAATTCCTTTTTTATATTTTTAGGTTTAGATTAAATTTTCTTTTACATAAAAACAAGACACAAAAATCTTTTTTACATGTACATTGCATTGCATTCTAAATATTATATTGTATTTATTCTAAATTCGTACAAATTCGATTTGATTGTAA